GCAATAATGTACATTAAAATCTATAAATATGTGTTGATTTTCCTTAATAAACGATCTGTTGCCTGACTCTTGCCTTCTGTCGTTACAGGGTGACAAAAGCGAAAGAGATGTAAAAGGCATCAACGATAGGTAACACCAGACAACTATTTAAACTTATCACGGAAAATGCAAGGCAAAAGGCAAATGATAGGTGCAACAATCTCCCAGCAAAATGGTACCATAATTAGCTCCAAGGATAGACGACTGGCTTGTTGGAAAGAACACTTTGAAGAGCAGTTTAATTGGCTTACAGCCAAGCTCAACTTGCCTAGCATCCAACACCTCGCTGAATGGGATATAAACACAGGTCCTCCTCCGTCCCTAACTGAGGTTAAAAAAGCTGTCACTAGTCTGAAACGAGGCAAAGCAGCAGGACTTGATGAAATGACTTCAGAGGTATTTAAGTACGGCAGAGACAGTTCATTATCTGCGTTAACTAAGGCATTAGGCAGCGTCTAGGAATCAGAGGTAGTCCTGTAAGGCTGGTGTGTAAGTCATTGATTATCCCGATACACAAGAAAGGAGACAAGTTTTCCTGTGATAATTACAGGCGGATCAGCTTGACCAATATGGCGTCTAAATTTCTAGGGTCAATAATCACGCGTAGACTAAGTGGTGCTAGGGAGGAACAAACACGAGAGAACCAGGCAGACTTTAGACCAGGAAGAGGGTGTATTGGTCATATTATCTTCACCCTTCGACAGATTCTGGAACATAGGCATACTTACCGGCGTCCAACAATCGTCACATTTCTTGATCAGAAAGCGACATTTGATTCCGTCGCAAGAGAGGTATTATGGCGATGTTTTGCTGTGAGGGGAATGTCGAGAAAATACACCGCAATGGCCAATGCAGTCTACTCGAACTGATACAGCCACGTGAGAGCCTATGGAGAGTTGTCATCTGAGGTGGTGACAACTAGTGGTGTCCGTTAGGGATGCCCACTATCCCCATTTCTGTTTAATTTCATCATAGATGTACCAAGGGGGACTTAACCCTAACTGACTTCAGCGACTCGGAGATTGACTTGTTACCAGGGAATAATCTCATTGACTTAGAATATGCAGATAAGATACAGTCCTTCTAGATGAAGACGTTAACAAAATGCAGAGTCTTCTGAACATCTTGAACTGCAATCTGCGAATGTTTGGTATGCCATTCGCTCCTGTCAAATGTAAGATGATGCTTCAGAACTGGACTACATCGACTCACTCCTACCTAAAGATAGGCAGTAGAGTGGTTGAAGGAGCGTGTTGACCACTTCAAGTATTTGGGAAGTTGCATCAGTCAATGCCGGCAGATTGATCACTGACGAAATCTCAGCACGGATACACAAGGCTCGTTTGGTATACGCCAACTTACGCCATCTCTAACTTAGTAGACGTGATATCCAGGTGGCTATCAATCTAAGGATGTGTGTGCTGCTCAGCAGTTCAGTCTGTCCTCCTTTATGGCTGCCAGTGAGACATGGGGATTGAAAGTGGATGAAGTTAGTGGACTTTACCATTTGTTAAAAGCTGTGATTCTACAACAGTGTGATTTATTATTTATTAAAACACAAAATTGGTACATTTTGGGTACCAAAAGGTGTGCCACACAAAATCTCACAGACTTTGTGCCATATCCGATAATAGTGCCCAGACGTCCAAAGGGAAGTAGATTAGTTGTTTCAGGAGGTTACCCCCAAGCCCTAGGCTTGAAGTCTCGTCCACAAGGCAGAGGAGCAGCGTCCCCATAGTGTCAGGTGACCGGGTGCTGAAGCCCATTTACACTACAGGGTTTGGAATCAGGATTTTCCAGTTCCTTTAGATAGACATGCATTTCCACTAACCCCGGGGTACTAGCTCAAATGGTAGAGCCCTCGCTTGGCATGCGAGAGGTACTGGGATCGATGCCCAGGTACTCCAACTCACCTTGCCTCTAAAGCCTCAGGATGGTCGGGGGTGGGTGCCTTGCGCTGCGGGTTGGCCACCCCTCCGCACACCTCTTGAAATGCTCCCATATGACCGGGCGTCTTACATAGCCTCTCCTGAGGAAGTCCTACTCACTGCCTTCACGTGGCGGAGGTGTTTTCCACCAAAGTGAGAGGGCGAAAGCGGATGCCCGGCGCTCTTCACCGGGTTGACTGTCCATTGGATGACAGTCTAGGGGAGATGGCTAAACCCTGATTCCAAACCTCCAACGACTGGCGTATGAAGCTCACTGGAGCTCACCGGCAGACGTATGGACAAAGGGCTTGTTGGATGTCCTGGATGTCTGGCCCCATTCAAAAAGGCGTATGAACCGAACTCCGGTCACCGGCTGCCAATGGATAGTGGACTCCCTACTCCACTCCTACTGCCTTGTAGGTCACACTTGGTTGTGTAAAGGCTAGAGCTGCACTCTCAAACAAAAGGCCGAGCGATTCTGGGGACATCACTCGTACCAAATTCCCATGAAACTTCATGAACTCTCTTACAAACGACTCTGGCCTCTTCGCGCGGAAGATGTACGCAGACTCGAGGTAGTAGACCATTGGTGCCTCAGGTACATTCTGCATGTTCGTTGGCAGGACAAACTCTCCAACGAAGAAGTGCGTCGTCGTTGCTACAACATCAACCAAATTCCAGTACTGGTCCAACAACGTCGCCTTCGGTGGTTTGGCCATGTTCTGCGCCGACCAGATGACGATCTGGTCAAATCAGTTCTAAATCCCTCGCCATTACCATCTTGGCGATGTCGCAGGGGTGGACAGCTGAAAACATGGCTTGGTACAGTCAAGGCTGATATGGAGTGCCTGGGGCTACAAACCGTCTACGGACTCCGTCTGTGGAACAAGAATTGGATAACCCTGTCGCAAAACCTTGCATCAGATCGCCGCGCCTGGGCAGCGATGATTCGAGATGTTCATGAAGCCGGCTCATCCTCCCGTAGGAGATAGCCGAAGTAAAGTAAAGTAAGTACTAACCCCGATTGTAAGCGCCAGACTTTCTTACTCGCCCCTTCACCTTACACCATTAAGGCCTTAAGTGGCAGACGTTTTGAACGCTTAACCACATGAGACCATTTTACAAGAAGGAGACTGAAGTCCCCCCATCTTCGGCCGTACCAATTCGTGTTTATAGGGGACGATAGTGTACATACATAGTTTATATTAGTATCATTTTTGTCATTCTTCTTGCACAAATGTTCATTTTCTTCTTATATCTCTCCCTCCTAAAACACTCCCACATTCAACTAATAACTTGACATAATCTCAATGAAAAGCCTGTGAATAAGGACTAGCTTCCTCTCACGATGACCTAAACTAAATTTACTTATGCTTCTGTAGAAGAATTTCATGGTTCTACCTTTAAATGAAACAAAAATTGAAGCCTCTTGTGCTAGTCTTAATAGATACATTGTCCCCAGTATGTTTCAGCTCATTCAAAGGGAGTGTCACCTCTAGAGAAAACAAAATTACTAGTTAGTAACTAGTGCAATGTGTCTAGTCCTTTGTTCGGTGATGCAGACTGAATCCTATTAGCCACTACTCTAGCTGGCTCGCCATCATGATGCACTTTTAACTGATAGAAATTAGTCTAGACATATTACACTAGTTACTATCTGTCGTTCAACCAAAGTATCCAATACAATCCTACCAGGAGGTCAATTGCGAGTTTGCATAACTGTGTGGTAACGTCTCTGACTCGCTGCAGCACTGAGTGACGAGGGTTCGAATCTCAAAAGGGACATGGGTTCCTTCAGGGTTGCAGATACGCCTTTCTGATGAGTGGCAACTAACACGAAACCTAAATCCCAAGGCTTCCTGCAGATTGCCTTCAACCATATATATATATATATATATATATATATATATATATATTTCATGAATCAAACCGCTGTTTATGTATCTACAGTTTGAATAAATCAAGAACTACAGTTTTTTGCAGAATAAAGTGGTACCATCATCGTTTATTTCTTTGCTTTCTCATCATCTGCTTACAGGTCAAAGTCATTATTAAAGTATATCTACATAAACAATTTTAACATACTTGCACAGATTTCATTTTAAACAAAAATCAATCGATCAATGTATACATACAGTAATAATATATACATATATGTGTAATATTAAACACTATTTCGAATAATAATGATCATACACAATGGAAACTTTCGGTATTACGCATTCAGATGAAAGAGAGATGAAAATATCCAGTTACCAGGCAGATCAAAGAAAGACTGATAACCGCTGGTTTCTGAACGCACAAATTAGGTTTCAGGCGTTTGATAGAGATGGCTTCAGTAAACTTGAGGAGAATTGAGCTCTTTTGCCTATTGATAATTTTGAACGAGTTTGAGACGTCCACCTCATGACCTGTGTCAAGGATATGCCTAGAGACGTACTGTTTTAAGCATTTGTTCCCTTTAGACATAAGCTTTTTGGTACATGTTCAGAAAATCTTAGATATGCCCTTCTTCTTTCTGTCCTTCCAATGTAACTGCTCCCGCAGACACATGTAAATTTGTATACACAGTTGGAGTTAACATGAGAAGGATGTCTATCGATTTTTGGCTGCACCAAAGAGCAGTTTATATTCGTTATTTCGGTTTACATCAAACGATATGAAGCAGAATGTTCAAATATACATAGTATTCTGTTGCCAATGCAGTATTGTGGGAATAACATTCCGTTGGCACACATTGTCTGTATCACACCACCACACTACCACCCGGCTGCTCAGCTTTGAGTAGATAGATTGGGATTCGAACCCAGGATCTAAAGGTTAAAAATCGATATCCACCAAGTTATTATACTGCGCATTCGGTGGTTCAGAGTCACATACCTATTAGGTTAGGCTAGTAATGCTATCTGGCAACCTACACCATGATAAGCTGACGCAGAGGGATTCGAACCCGTCTATCTAAAACACCAATATAGTCATAAATAAACACACATTAAAACCAAACAAAATCTATTCTAAACAAGAATCACTTACCTCTAAACTGTTAATTCCTTGTTTAGTAATTAACTGACAATCATATAAATCAAGTTGTTTTAATTTTCGACAATTACTGCCTAAATGCTCTAATGCAGCATCAGTTAATAGAGGACAATTATCCATAGCCAGGGTTTGTAATTGATCAGAACCACAGAGACCTTCAGCTAGTCGAGCAATACCTTCATCTGTGACTTGATCACAATGGGATAAGACAAGTGTATTCAGCCGGGGACAATGGACAGCTAACTGGGCTAACGTGGAATCGGTTACTAATGCACAGTCTTCTAAGTCTAACTTCTCCAGCTATTTTGGGATAAAGAAAAAGTAACGGAAGAAAAATAAGATTTACAATATGGCAAAATCAATTCATACATACTTACATGTATTTTGTATTAAATTCGCTTTCAAAAGTCAGCCGCCTCTCCTTCAAAGTATGAATTATTTACCTCAGTGCTCAGTGCTGAAATTAAAAGCAATTCCAACAGCCGCCTTCCCTGTTTCCATACTGAAGAGATCAGATGACCAGCTTGTCAATCGATCGGAAAGGATAAGCAATCAACACCGAACTCTTGCAGTGCAGTGAGGCAACCAACAACCTGTTGGTCAGCAGTGACGTAAAAGAAATTGGAGATGGATTTGACATACGCTGAGAAGGTATTCATCAAATGACATCACACGCCAAGCCTCCAGGTAGAATTCAAATCGAAGTTGGGAGTAGTTGTTCCGAGGTTAACAAAGAGGAGATAATGTAGAAAGGAGACGAAAGCTTGTGGGCAGTCTAGGAGCCAGCTGAAAATGACTGCAGAGATGTGTGAGTGGAAAGGAAATGCGCCGCTAAAGTAAGTAAATTGTAAATTGTTCAACCCGGGACTTTTGACTTAGAGAATATAAAAAAGGGCACTGGAGTTTTTCAAGAGTTTTACAGCTACAGTTTCCGATTTCTAGTCGTCTCTTTTATGAAAATGCCTCGATCGGGCCTTTATTTTTCTACTATTTATTTTAATCCTTTGCGTCCCAAGTGGAACATGAGGTGTCAAACTTGAGCCTTGAAGTTTCACTAGCAGCGGTTTCATTTCTACGAGGGGGGAGGGTTGCTAGCCATACGCACAAACTTCCCTCTTTACCACAGAGCTTACTAGCGGCTAAGTGAGGTTTAAGAGTGCGTCGGCCAAGGATCGAACCGCAGACCAAATATGTACGTGGTTGGCGAGCATTCTGCCGCTGCACTACCACCCACGATGACGACGACCAGCCGCCTTAGTTTGTCTTGTTTTTTCTTGAAGAACTTAAACAACAACGCTATGTAGTACAATGTATTAGCAGTATTAATTTAGGTCAATTTCGCTTCTCTTGTCAATTGACTGATTGAAAAAACAGTACAGTCTCTGATAACATGTTAGCCGTGATCATGGTCGCTTCGACAACGTTTGTAGATTAATATTGATATTCAAGTATTGGTTTGCAGGGATTTCAATGATTGGTTACAGGATTTCTTCATGAGCCGACATCAGTTAGAGAACCATTAGAAAATCAGTTGGGAGTACTGGACAGTTGTTCCATCCTAGTTTAGAATTCTTCATCAGTACACACACGTCGGGGTTCGAACTTATGACCTTCTGGTTACAAGACGAGCTAGCTCTTAGTTCATTAAGCCACTGGGACCCAATCCAATGGCCAATCCATGGATTCCAACTTCTGCTAATTCACTACATAGCATGACCGCTAACCAATGTCTTCGGAGAGTATTTGCCATCACACCCAACCTGCTGCTGGTGGATTGTGACTAACAGTGGAATTCAGGATGAACGTCCAATTTGGGACTCATTGTTAGTATACGACCTAAATAATTAAGCCAATAAGTGGTCTAGTGGATAACGCTTTGGTATTTGAAACCACGGACACTGGGTTCGAGTCCCGGTGGGAACACCATCACTCACTAGGGAATGCAGGTACATCCAGTCGATGAGTCCCAAACAGGACGAAATGAGCATCAAACTGGATTCCACTGCTAGTACCCATCCACCAACTGATTTCAAGTTACATGACCAAACATCGTCGAAGCACCTGTACAAGCAGCCGACACGTCAACCTGAGACCGACCACTTCAGTCCCATCAATCGACGGGAAAGTCTAAATTGAATTCAATAACAAGAGTAGACTATTAATTGTAAGTCTGTGGTCAAATTTTGATCACAGATCATAGAATTTTGTTTATTATATTATGATGTCTGTTCATGATTGGACAGGGATTTTAAAAACAAGGTGTGTTCCTACATATATATATATATATATGATTTTTTTATTTCAATTTCGCTGAGATTTTACAACTATAATTTCTACATATGTCTACTCCTCACTCGGTGTCCAAATATAGTGAAACTATTCGATCAAGTCTTGATCACAGTTAGTATGAATAATCACTGTGAACTCATTCTAGTCATACCGTCTCACAGGAACTTGGAAAGATAATACCATATTTATTTATTGAGTATATCACACGCATACACAGACAGTAAATGAGTATTATTCACTAGATGACGTTTCGAACAAAATTCATTATTCAAGTATTGGTTTGTAGGAATTTGGTTGATTGATTACAGGATTTCATCATGAGCTGACATCGGTCAGAGAACCATTGGAAAATCTGGGAGTACTGGACAGCTGTTTCCTCCGTCCTAGTTTGGAAATCTTCAGCAGTACGCACCCACCGGGATTCGAATCCAGGACCTTCTGGTTACAAGGCGAGCTCGTAGACCATTAAGCCACTGGGACCCGATCCAATGGCCCATGAATTCTAACTTCTGCCGATTCACGACATAGCGCAACCGCTATCCAATGTCTTCGGCGAGTATATGTCCTCACACCCGACCTGCTGCACCCTACTGGTCACGACTTCCCACTGGAACCCCAGGTAACTATCTACCTGAATAGGACCAATCGCCAATGAGCATCTCATTGATATTCAAGTGTTGGTTTTTTGTTCATAATCATATCAACAATTGGTTTTTCTTCATAGTTCTTCTTCTTCATCGTGGAGCTGGTAGAATCTCCCAAATGTTCAGGTGAACAGATGTTGAATCATTCCTATTGCATGTACTCTCAGTTGATTCGATAAATAAAGTTTCAGTTATCAATCTCACCCTTGATCTTATTACATTAGATCTTAAGACTTTCATTTTGTCTCATCCTCTTGTATGGTTGTGTGTTACCGTATATGATGCTATATAGCTGAGCCATTTCATGAGTAGCTCAAACATGGAATTCTTAAAAAATTTCTCATGAAAAGCCGTGATCAGTGGAATTCAATAAATCCGATGCTCTAACATTTCCTTATTGAGTGGACACTGCATTTTATTTTAGCTGGTGATATTAGAAACAAGCCAGTGGCTTTCCACATGGTGTCTCAGTGTTTAAATCGTAAGGACTGATGGTCGTGGATTGTGAAGGTTGAGTTGGTGCTGATGACTTCCAACTGTTCTCTGGTTGATTGCAAGGAAATCAAACAAACCAATTAAAATTATTCTAGTAACTGACTACGGGATGAGGTCACTTGAAGCTCCTAATGGAAAGTCGTGACCCACGGGATCCATCAAACTGATCATGCTAAATAACACGAATAGACAAAAACTAGAATTCATCAATCAGCTAACCATTGGATTCCCCTCCGAGTGACTCAATGGTCAACGAGCTCGTCTTGTAACCTGAATGGTCCAGGTTTAATCCCCAGGGGAGCATCATAGGTGCGCGCCGATGAAGTGTTCAAACAGAGCTGAAAACAGCTGTCTGGTACACCAACCCGAAAAAACTACCTTATTCACGATTATCTGCAAGCAATCAAATTGTTATCCTTTACAGAAGAAAAAAACTCACTTTATTGCATACTCGAGCGATAGCAGACAGTCCAATATCTGTAATAGCTGAGCATCGGGCAACTTCCAGCGTTGTTAAATGAACACAACCAACAGGGACTAGCGTTGTTTTGCTAGCATCATTAGTTTTTTGACGTCTATTTACACTGGGCATTCGATCGCCTTGATTATCCTCAGTATTATTATTATTATTAGCCGAGGAATCTTGATGACTGACAACATTTCCATTACTTGTTACAGGAAGAATCAATGGGATACCATTTTGTTGACTAGCGGATGATGCCTGTCCAACAATAGCAGCTGCTGCAGCAGGCGAGAGTGTACCGGCTATTGCCCGAAGACCCTGGTCAGTTATTGAACAATGGGATATAGCTAGGACACGTAAGTCGGGACAACCAACAGAAAGGTGAACCATTGCTTCATCTGTGACACCCTGTTGAAAAGTGTTTAAAAAATGAAAGTCATTATAGGTAGAAGAAATCAGAAGTTATACGCGAAATCTAAAGTCTAACTGTTACAGCTCATGCCAAGCCACAGCCTTCTTGGACTAGGAATGTCAGGTGAAGTAGGATTACGTTGGAAAAGAGTCACGCGGCTAAAAAACCAAAACCTGGCATCAGTGCATGAAGTTTTTAACTGGTGGTTTGAGACAGCTACTTAGGGAGATATAGACAGCTTGGTTGGAGACCTAGGGATTCTAAGGACCAATGGTTTGAGACGACCAGTGAGTGATATAGCTCAAAATCATTCTCATTGGCGCAGACGCATTCACTATCTAGAAGTCTCCTATATCCCTTAGACCCTCAGATTTTTTCATGTTAGTATTCTTTCTTTCGTTCAATTTAACTAACTACAACATTTCCTTTAGATGTCTTTTCTCTCGACCTTTATACGCTATGTAAAGTTTGGCAACTTCAACTGCTGCACACTTCTACGCAAAGTTCTATGCTGAGTGTGTAAGTCAGTCAGTCAGTAAGTCATCTATTGTTAGAGATAGAATAATTTTGATTTGACACTAGTAACTAGTGTGATGCGTCTAGTCCTCTCTTTGAGCTTCCTGCCGATTGCCTCCAACCATCTAATAGGATAATTTGCTATAATTATACCAGCCAGGCAGGATGCTCCTAGAGAGAAGACAACAAGTTCAGTTGTCTAATATCCCGATGGATAGTTGCCATGATTTGAAAAACTGCGACGGCCCCTAGATAGCAAAAGAACTCAATGCCCTTTCAGTGGTACTCTGACAATTCTAACCAAGGGGATACAAAGGTTAACTCCCTGAAAGATTGCTGAACTTACTGTATCTTTTCTAAAATTCGCTGTGACTTTACTGATATCCCCTTTAGGATTTGCGTACTATGTGCAAACTCAACTGGAAATAACCGAGGCCAACAACTGGATTAATGTGAACATAGTTATAATATAGATTTCAAGAATATTAAATAAAAAAAATCATGAATAAATGAATCTTACATCCTAATTCATGAGGTAGAAAAAACTTAAGTATATAAAGCGAAAACTGTCTGATAGTTCACTCAGATTATGGGCATTCTATTTTGTAAATCATGAAGTATATTTAGAACTGCCTCAACACTACAGAGTACAGCGAACCTATATACACACCTCATCCAACAGCTATATGTCAAGTGATTCACAACGGGAAGTTCAGAGAAGACAGGAGTCAAACAAGGCCGTGTATTTCCACTGATCGTATTTCTTATCGTGGTGGACTGAATCATACAACAGACTAAAGGGAGCGAGAAGACTCTGGAACACCTAGACTTCGCGATGGATTTATGTATAATATCACACACGCTGAAAGATCTACAAGCGAAAAGCAGCGAAGACAGTGAGCATAGAGAAGAGAGTAATGAAGACACCTAATAGCCACCAACAACAACAACAACAAGCATCGACCACCATCAACGCGAGGGACATAAAAGAAGTCACCTCTTTTTCATTTACTCACCTGGGCAGCATCCTTTCAACTACAGGCAGTCGATACGGATGAGGATGTCAAAACCAGTCAGCATTGGAAAAGCACGACAAACCTTTATTACTCTGAAATCAGTGCAGAAATCTACTGCACTCAGCTTAAGGGACAGAACTCGTATATTCGACACTAACGAAAAATCAATTGCTTCTTTATAATTCACAGAATTGGCGGATTACAACAATTCGTAGGTTTTTATCAACAGCCGCCTTCGCTGACTCCATACTGAAAACCAGATAGCCAACCAGAAAGGATAAGCACCAATGAATTGCGGCAACAAACCAACCGAGAATCTATCATTCAGCAAGTATGCAGAAGGAAACAGAGATGAGCTGGACATACACATTGAGTAGATCACTGAGTGACATCATCCACGATGCAGACCTTCGAGTGGGAAAAGATGAGGTGTGTACAGGTCCGACAGCGATTTGGAGGATAACGTGTCAGCAGGAAGTAAAATCCAATAGGCAATCATGCAACAAGCTTCGAAAGACTACGGAGAACTTGGCGAAATGAAGATATGCTTCTGAAACTCACTATTCGACTCAAAACCCAAGAAAATAACACATTGAGAATTCCGCACCACGTACCAAGGCACTTTGTCAGGATTAAGTTATTAATAATGTTATTCAATTTATTATATCAAATCTGGTGAATACGCATTTTACAGAAAAATCATACCTGTCCACAGTAATTTAAATTTAACAATAATAGGCCATGACAATGACGTGCTAACTGTTCCACACCACGACTGGTTATCTCTTGACAGCCGATAGCACGGAAACGTTGTAAACCTTTACAGCCTCGAGCAATAGCAGTTAATCCACGATCGCCAACACTACACCAGGATACATCCAAGCATGTTAGGTTTGTGCACCAACTAAAGAGGGATAATAAAAAAAAAATTTGTAGCATTTATTTAAGCACAAAAATGATGATAATGTCCATGAGACAATTTGAAACAGGCGTTGAACGGGCAGCTCATTTCCATTTCTTCGCTTTCCGAGTGTTACACAGTTGTGTCGCTAGCCTCGCGCCCGACCAATTGTGCGTCGGTAGCACAGCGATAGAATGCTCACCAACCACGCAGGTGATTCGAGGTTCGATGCCCGGCCGACACACTCCTTTACCTCGCTAAGTCAGTAATAAGACGGATAAAGGGGAAAGGTTGGGAATGAGGCTAGCAACCCCATCCAGTAAAAATAAACACCACTTCTGCCGAAACTTCAAGTTAGAGGCTTGAATCCATATGTTCCACTGGGAACATAAAGGAATAAAACAGCAAAGCGAGGTTTAAGAGTGTGTATGGAGCCCGGACCGTGTTTCTGGTTGCCGAGCATTCTACCACTGAACCATCGATGCAAAGACGTCAGACAATTAAGCATTATTTATTCACATTGTAATCTTCATAATTCAAGTGAAACTAGGGCCTCGTTAACATTTGTGGCTTGTACAGTTCATTCGACAGAGAGTTGTTTAGCAGGCAGTAATCACAAAACCAGTGATTTTGAATCCTTTAGCGACGAGTGACTGACTGACTGGTTTCGAAGTAGACCTTTGCACCGATGTGCAGCAGTTCGAGTCGCCACTCCATGTAGCACACAAAGCAAGTGAAGACAGTAAAAACAAAGGCAAAACATAGACAGTAAACAGAGATATGAGGCGTAAAGAATAGTAATATGGAAGAATCACATAGTTTTATTGGATATTATGAGTCACGAGGAGTGGGTGCATTTGCGCCATTGAGAACGATTTTGAGCCACAGGTAGTTGAAGAATGACTGACTGAGTACCAAAACAGAACTTAATACAAAAATCCACCAGTTTAAATTGCCATATTTAATGTAGCACACAAAGGTAGGTAATATAGGGAAAACAGAAATTGGAAGGAAATATAATGAACAGAAACGTAAGGGAAAATGAATAGTAACATGGAAAACCGTAACGGTTTAGCGGATATGATATCACAAAGAGTGAACGAATCTGCGTCAGTGACAGAAATTTTGAAACATACCACCAATAGTTTCCGTTCACTCGTCCTCGGAATCACGAAGACTCCAATCAGAGCAGTTTACACCTACCTACGTAGCTGGTTCAAACCAACTGTCATGGGTTGACGCCAGGTTTTAGTCTGACCACCCCACACACGTAACTCGTTTCCAACCCAACACTATGTCAGCTAACAATGCTCCTCGAAGAAGGCAGCGGTTCGGCGTGAGCAACATGTGTCCTAGCCATCTTAATCGATGCAGCTAAACAACTTCATCGATTGACTTCACTTGCATACCTAGCACCCTACGCATAATCTAAATATTACTCACCGTACTATACCACTTAACACGAGAGATAGAGTGCGAATATCTGTGGTCAAAGATATTAGCCTTTTCGTATCTTTCACTCTCAAATGATAATGTCTCAACAGTCATACAAAAGGACAGAACGAAGTGCTGCACAGTACATATATTCTTTGACTGATAACTGGATATCATGTCTACACCAGAGACGACGTAAGTTGAAAAATGCCACACGACTCTTCCGTATCCATGTTGAGATTTCGTCACCAATCAGTCCGTTGAGGCTGATACCACTTCGCAAATAAGTGAATTGGTCAACACAATCCTTCAACCACTTCAATCCCTATTTTTAAGCTAGGAGTCGATATAGTATAGTCCTGTAGCGTCATCTTACATTTGACAGAAGCGAATTGCATGACAAACATTGGAAGATTGCTACTCGATGTGTTGAGAAGACTCTGAATTCTATCAGTGTCTTGACCCAGGAGAAGTATATCATCAGCATATTCTAAGGCAACAAGATTATTTCCTGGTAACTGATCAGTCCCTAGGTCACTAAAGTCAGAGTTAATTCCATTATTTCTTCTAAGCTAAAATCGAACGGAAATGAGAACAGTGAGCATCCTTAACGGAGAACACTGGTTATACTCACTTCAGATGACAACTGTCCATAAGCTATTACACGGCTTGCATCAGTTAGAGTAGATTGTCTTGACTGTCCTCAGGACGATAAAAACCTATGCATGGAGACAATAGGTGATATGGCTTAAAATCGTTCTCAATGACAACGCAGATGCAGCCGCTCCTTGTGACTTAAAATTTCCACTGAAACTATATTGTTCTTCGTTATAATTATTCCTTATGTCTCATATCCCGGTCTACTGTCTCTATTATGCACTTTTTCTGCTTTCTTCTCTTGCTTTGTCGGTCGGTCGGTTTTCGACATAGAACTTTGCACGTATGTGCGGCACTTCAAGTCGCCACACTCCATCCACGTAGCACACAAAACAAGAGAAGAAAGTAGAAGAAATGCAAAATAGAGACAGTAAACAGAGGTGAGAGACAAAGGAATAGTAGTAACGAAGATCAATATAGTTTCATTGGAAATCATAAGTCACAAGGAGTGGATGCATCTGCGCTGTCATTGAGAACGACTTTGAGCCATATCCCCACCACTTGTCTTTAGCCTTCAGTGGTTTTTAACCATCCCGAGGACCCCAACAAGGAAGTCTACACCTTCCTACGTGGATTTCATTGACTGGTGCCATGTTTAGGTTTGATCACCACTAGCTCTTTTCCAGCCTGACCCTATATCAGCTAACATTGCCTGGTGTCGAGGAAGGCGATGACTAGGCTAGGCATGCGTAACACATGTCCTCAGTCAATGTAATTTCACAGGATCGTCGACTGATTTCCCCTCCTTACCTAGCACTTGACGCCTAACCTCAATATTGCTCACCTTATTAGACCACTTCACACGAGAGATAGAACGCAGGCACCTATGATCAAAGACAGCTAATCTTTTCATGTCTTCAACTCTCAATGGCCAGGTCTGACAGCCATAAAGGAGGACGGAGCGGACTGATGAGCAGTACACACGCCCTTTGGTCGATAGTCGGATATCACGTGTACGCCAGAGACGGCGTAAACTGGCACATGCGAAACGAGCCTTCTGCATCCGTTCTGAGATTTCGTCAGAGATCAACCCGTTGGGGCTGATGGTACTTCCCAAATAAGTGAAGCGGTCGACGTGCTCTACCACTTCACCTCATATTTCTAATCTAGGGGTCGGTGTAGTCCAATCCTGCAGCATCATCTTACATTTTACAGGGGCGAATCGCATGCCAAACATTCGTAGATTGCAGCTCAAGATATTCAGAAGACTCTGCATTTTGTCAGAGTCCTCGCCTAGAAGGACTATATCATCTGCATATTCTAAGTCAACGAGATTATTCCCTGGTAGCAAGTCAATCCCTGAGTTTCTGAAGTGAGTTAGGGTTAAGTCCACTAGTACGTCTATGATTAAATTAAATAGAAATGGGGATAATGGGCATCCTTGACGGACGCCACTAGTCGTCACCACTTCAGATGACAACTCGCCGTAAACCCTCACCTGGCTGCATGAGTACGAATAGAGTGCCTTAATCAGTGCAATGTATTTTCTCGGCATTCCCTTTACAGCCAAGCATCGCCAGCTCTTGCTTTGTGTGCTACATGGAGTGTGGTGACTTGAACTGCTGCACACTGGTGCAAAGTTCTATGTCGAAAACAGACAGACAGATTGTCTTGATTAGTGCGATATAATTGTCGACTCTGCCTTCACGGTTAAACATTAACACAGAACCTCTCGTTACTGACCAGTGCATAATCACTACTCAAAAAATCCTCAGAAAAGAAACGGCAACCATCTACTGGAGTTTCACAACACTACAGACATGGCATGTCGAAGTTAACTTCTGTTCAATGCAAATCAGGTGCTGACAATACTTTCTTACATGAGTGATAGAGTCAGTGTGAATATTCGTGATTTAAAATTACTGGTGTACGTGGGATACAGAATCCAGTAGGGAAAAATATGTACGAACCTATTTTGGTAACTAGCAATGATGTGAACACAGCTCTCGAGGTTGCTCAGCTGGCCTATAGATTAGATGTCAATTCAGGGCAGAAAATTTTCTTTATCAAAGAATTCATCTTCAATCGTATTTATATTCACTAAAACGACATAGCAGTCAGGCAGTTACCTGGGGTTCTAGTGGGAAGCAGTGACCAGTAGGGTACAGCAAATTGAAGGTGAGGACAGTTACTCATCGAAGAAGACATTGCGAAGTGGTCGCGCTATGTCGTGAATTGGCAGAAGTTAGAATTCATGGGTCATTGGATTGAGTCCCAGTGGCTTAATGGTCTACGAGCTAGCTCGCCTTGTAACCAGAAGGTCCTGGGTTCGAAGCCTGGTTGGAGTATTGTAGAGTCCCAAACCAGAACGAAACAGCTGTTCAGTACTCCCTGCAAGTATTCCAATGGTTCTCTAACTGATGTCAGCTCATGATGTAACAATTAATAAGACTACTTAGAAGTGGTTTCTACAGATAGAAGCAAATTACGTAATAATTACCAACACAATGGAAGTAAAGGTTTGGAATTTCATGAGGTGAAAATTGCCATTAGATGAGAAGCAAGGCAGCTAAATTCCCAGTTGACAAGTGTGAAGGTGAGAAGAAAACGCCAGTGAAGCACACAAAAAAGAAACTGCATGAGTGACAATAGTGGATCACTTACTAAATATAGCAGCAAACAAGTAGAAAGTTCAAAACCACTGCATAATAATAAACCAAAAACAAAACCTTCCCTGCACACAGGGTTCAACGTTACAGCGATGAACCGCTAGCAAATCTGTCACACACAAGTGCCCTTTTACTATGCAGCCTTGCAGACAATTTAAAAGAGGACTGTGGCGGAGTTGCGTGGCCTAAGTTTACTACGTACTCGAGTGTTGTGCTAATAATTGACTTGTACTTCCTTCTTGATAACCATACCGGATAGTGTTGAGAGATGTGTTGGCAAATTGTGCAGTTTTATACCACTAT